TATCTGGCACCATTAAGATGTTGTGAGGATTGACTAGCTAACTCTAATCCCAATGTCCTTTTCCTGTCTCTCTCTCTCTCTCTCTCTCTCTCCCTGTTCCTAATTATAAATTAGGTAGATTTTCCATAAAAAGGAAATCTTCTCCTTAGACTTTTGTATAGAAACTCTACCTCTTCCATTGTTTTAATGCAAAGTTAGCTAATCTTTATAAGTAGTGTAAGAATTACTTACCGGCTTCATTTGTATAAGGTTTATACTATTCAGTGAAATAAAACGGTTTATCTTTGTAAACATCAATATGATAAACAAATAAATAAAATGCAATAATCATTATGGTAAATAACAACAACAACAACAACAACAACAAAAGTGGAATCTGGTCTAAAAAGGCGCTTCTTATTCTATAGTCTAACCTTGATTAATGTTAATATACATTTATGCTAATTAAATAAACGGTACCTCATTATAGTATCCATAGTCTATTACCTTATTACATACTTAGTAACTGAAGAAAGATAAGAACAAATATAATCATATAACAGATAAGTGGTAATAGTATATGTTCATATTCAGAAGTATATATAATATCAGACACTTATGATTGGTTAATAATTGTGTTGACAATTAAACTAGACAGAGATGATTGTTGGTGGTGGTGGTAGTGGTGATGGCGGCGATGATGATGACGACTGGTCAGAATACTTGAAATGAACAGTAAGGTTTACTTACTTACTTACTGACTGACGCATGTTACTACACGTCGTGGAGGAGTATAGGCTACCCACCAGCACTGTCCATCCAACTCTGTTCTGGGTAATCGTTTCCAGTTGCTATTCATACTTTATGGTGTCTATTTCCAATACTCGACGCAGTGTGTTCTTTGGATGAGTGAATTTCGGTCAAAAACTCAAAAGGTCCACTGATTACTTCATCCATTCAGTTTAGTATCATTAGGTCAAGGTTTGTTTCTTGATTAAGTGTTTATTTTTCAGGTTTAAGGATGGTTTCATTTGCCTGTTTGTGGTTGCATTAAGTAATTGTTCATCATCACTTACAACGTTTTGAGTAGTACAAAAAGTTATTTTTTACTACTCGTTATATATGGAATTTGCATTTCACTCATAAGCTTGAAGGTTCCCTTCTAGGTTTTGATTGTTTTGCCACTATTCTATACTTTTACGGGTATTTTTGTCTCAGTTGTCTTAGTTGTTTAAATCCTCCCACTGGTGTTTAGAATTACAATTGACCAGTCTCTTTTGACATATGTGGATCGTATACTACCATTAAATCACAAGCATTTAATAAGTAGGGTTAGATACTGGCTAGCCGTACATTAGCAGCAGTTATCTGTACTCAGTAGCTAAGTGGATGGCACGTTAGCGTTTAAAGCTCAAGGTATTGAGTTTGAATTCCAAAGTGAACAGAAACTGTGGGATCCAAGTACATCCAGCTGACGAGTCCTAAATAGGAATAAATGTGTGTTTGTAATAAGAATCATGTATTTCAAACATACTGTGTTTATATACCAATCAAACAGATCACATCGTACCATAAAATGGAAAATAACATTTACACAAGATTTAGACAAATGTGGCTGTGAATATAGGAGGTAGTCATTGATAGACTGGGCATAACTCGGGAATGGTAAAACGTATAATAATGGTTCATAGGTCCAAATAAAGCTTATGATAAGAGGAACATGAATATTTATAGTTCAGTTACTTAACAGTTATACAATAAAAACATATGTATAGTATTAGTCCAGAAGTAGATTCCAACAGCTACCATTCATAATTCTCATCGGGATATAACACATTCAGTTGACAGAACACAAGTTCAATAAATAACTGGCATACTTTTTGGTATCTCTAATGTTTATTTAATCTAATTAATCTAAATATTTAAAAGATTATCATTAGATTACTTTATCATGGTAATGGTTGATATGTAGATTTGATTCCTAGTAGGATCATGAGTATGCGCTAAAGATGACCCCCTTACCAAAATAAACAGATGAGCATTACCTCATTGTTTTCAGTATCATCCTAAATGAAATCAATCTGTGACGAATACAACGATCTCCTGAAACTCCTTGAAATATTTACAAACCATTGAGACGAATTGCACTGTTTCCTATTTCCATTTTTTCTTCATGATAAATCTATGACAGCAAGAATATTGGATTTAGAAGCTCCCTCACACACACACACACACACACATACACACTGAATCTGTGTACTTATGAAACTATAAGCTATGAAAATAAGCGACTACATTGTCTCTAACATGTATCTGTGAAGATTCAAACTGATTTGTTATTAACTTAGCTTATATTCTCTATCAATATCATTGTATCCATCTTCTAATGATTTTCAATTTAATCAAATATTTTACAAAAACTCTTTACTACTTACCTACCCTACTTATTTTACAGTAAACATTAGTCACACACACACATAGATACATAAAAAAATAAACCGACTACCAAGTAAATACAAAGTAGAGTTTGCTTTGAACTTGAAAAAAATCTTTTTAAAAAAATATTTTCTCTCTTGGAGAAAGTATACCAAACTACATGCTCACTCACTCACTCACTCACTCACTCACTCACTCACTCACTCACTCACTCACTCACTCACTCACTCACTCACTCACTCACTCACTCACTCACTCACTCACTCACTCATTCACTCACTCACTCACTCACTCATTCACTCACACCCTCCTTTTCTCCCTCCCTCCCTTAGTTACTAGTTGTAATATTAGTACTCACTTCTTTATCGTCTATTTAACATAACGCACATATAATATGTAACTGAATCATGTCAAATGTTGGATATCTTGAGAATACTAAACAAATTGCATGTGTGTATGCGTGTGTGTGCGTAGTGTGCGTGTGAATATGTGTGTTTACGATAGTCAGTAGTTGTAAGAGTAATATTAGTACGATGGTCAAGTGAGAAATAAGATCGAAATCAGGGAAATAATAATAATAAGGGAGAATCAGTGATGTTATTCATTTCTATATTGTATGTCATAATCACTCATTTGTAAAAAGAGATACACGGAATGTTGTTCAATGATAGGAAAGGTTTAGAATGAAGAAATACACATCTTTTTTGATACTTTCTATATGTATCTATATGCGTCTGTGTTGTTTTAAGGTGATTGTAAATTTTCCGACTAATATATTTCATTTATGACAATCAATCTGATGAAAAGAGAACTCTCAGTATGGAGTTGTGGAGACTATCAAGTTTTTAATTGAGATCATGGACCGATTAATGTGAGATCATCATCGAAAACCTGTAGGCATTGGATGGATATTTCGTACTATTTTGGGACTCCTTAGCAGTGCGCATCCACAATCCCGTTGGCGGGATTCCAACCCGGGGCCTTCGGTCTCGCACGCGAACGCTCAACCTCTAGACCACAAGTGACCAGCTTCGTGAGAGAATTCTCGGAGTTCTGTTAAGAAGCCACGACCAGTCGAGCTAATCCGTGTCGGGTAGAGACAGGTATCTATCCCAGTGAAATGGAAGATGGTAGTGCAATTTCGTGGATTAGTTAGACATAGACACCGTTAGATACCCACTCGGTGGTCTAGATGTTAGGCGTTCGCGTGCGAGACCGAAAGCCCTAGATTCGGATTCCGCGAGCGGGATCGTGGATTCGCACTGTTGGGGAGTGCCACAATATAATAAGACAGCCGTTCAGTACTCCCAGGTTTTCCATGGTAGCTTAACATCAATCGGTTCATGATCTCAATCGAGAAAAAAAGAACTGACAATTGGAATTTACAGTCCTCTTGTTTTCTTGTATTCATTTAACCTACTTATAAGTAGACCAACTTGATTTGATAAAAAGTGTTTACAACCACGGATTTATCTTAATTATAAGAAAAAACCATTAAAAAATCAGAGCCATTGAACAGATATTTAATTGTAGTATGGGACATTTCAACAGTACACATTCACGATCACAGCAGAGGTTTAACTGAGGAAGTTCAGGTATTATGGAGAAGAGTGTTAAATCCCTAGATTACAGAGTCAACAACCATTGATTTAAATTGTGCAATCATTTTCCAATGCCATTAGTGAGTAATTATTTTGAATTCAACATGGATCTACTCCTTTAGTTAGGGATTCTTGTTGGAACTTAGGGTATTACCTCTGGGAATAAATCATTGGTAAGTAAATGTTTCCTTATTCAGTCAGTCAGTCAGTCAGTACAACTTCGTACGTACGTCCATCAGTTCGAGTTGCCACACCACATTAGCACAGAGATGCAGTGGTCGATTCAAATCCCATAGTGCTAAATGTAGTAAAATTATAAGTTGTAATCAGAAAAATTAGGCTTTGAAGATGTTATTCAAGGAGTATAATCCAGTGAAATAAATTTGGAAAGAGGAAAAAGAAAGGGACATGAAGAATTCAGAAGGTTAGAATTTGGAAGAACACAAAGAGTGGATGTACCTGCGCCATTGCAAACGATTTTGAGCCATGTCATTCAAGGTCTCTAACCATCGGTTGCTATCATCTCGCGGTCCCCAACCAGGTAGTCTACACCTACCAATATGACTCAGTCTACTTGTCAGTGACTTCATGGACTTGTGCCATGTTTTGGTCTGGCCGCCCCTAGCTTTCTTCCAATCTGCTCCTATACCACTGAACATAGCACGTCGAGGCAGTTGTTGGTTGGGCATACGTAACACGTGTTCCATTCATCTCAACTGATGAAGTTTCATTATTTCATCAATTAATTTGCCATCCTTACCTAGTACCCGTTTCCTAACAACTGTGTTACTTACTCGATGTTCCCAGGATATACGAGCAATATTTCGAAGGCACCTATGATCAAATACTAGTAACATACGAATATCCTTTACTCTTACCGTCCATGTTTCCTTATTACTGTGGCAAGTTCATAGCGATTATTAACACATCATTTTAACTAATATGAAATGTTCATTTGAATTTCTTTGTATTTTTTCATTGAAGTTATATACAGATTGGGCGAATCATTATTTGGAAAAGGCAAATTATTCAAATTTAATAAAAAATATACAGAAAGATTTATCTAATGGACTATTGTTAGCTGATATTATACATGCAGTAGGTAAGTTGGATATTGTGTATTGCTAATTTATGTATGCATCATTATTTTGCATTCGTTTTGAGACCTAATATATGAAGGGCTGCATAATGGGTAGTAGTGGAATAGACGAGTGTCGATTATTGATGTTGGTCACCAGATAGTAGGATATAAAAGCAGGGGTTAGTAAAGTAAGGACAGCATTTATACAGTTCAAGAACATATGAAACTCAAAACAACTGACAACTAGTATCAATATGTACATCAAGACAGTTCTACTATATGGAGCTGAAATTTCGAGAATTACTATAACTATCATCAAAAAAGTACAACTACTGATAAACAATCCACTGACTGGATATCATCAGCAACAACCTACTGTGGTAGAGGACAAATTAGTTTCCAGATGAGGAGGTAATTAGGAAAAGATGTTGGAAGTGGATAGGATACACATTGAGAAAATGATCGAACTGCATCACGAAGCAAGCGTTAACTTGAAATCCTGAAGGCAAAAGGAAAATAGGAAAGCCGAAGAACACACTGCGTTGAGAATTTGAAACTGACATGAAAAGGATGAATAGAAAATGGAAACAACCGGAAAGGACTGCCCACCACTGAGTTGAATAGAGAATACTTTTGGGTAATCTATGCTTCTTCAAGAGAAGTAACAGGCGTAAGTGTATATATATATATAGATGATTAGATAAATAGATAGATCACTTTGATGAGGTAGTTTACATCATAGACTAAACAATTTAATGCTTTTGTCGTTCAATTTCGAAATTTTACTCTAGTCCCCATTTACGATACCTTTCGGGATCAGATCTACTAAAACCACCGATTCTTAAAGATTTACACTGACATGTTTAATGCCATGTTTTATCGTCATTCTTCTGAATCGGTGTATTCATGTACACTTCGGAAAAGTTCCGACTTTTCAGCTATTTGTCCATTTAAATCGTACGAACGAGATTTTTTTATGAATTCAACATTACTACTAAAATTTAGTTAGTATGATGATAAAAATAACAAATATTCTCGTGACAATTATCATAGGCGGCGTAAAGCTGAAAACCCACTGATAATGATGAACTAATGAAGATTGATCTGAAAGATTTCAAGTAAATTCATGAATGATGAAGCTTAGATTCAAACCCATGATTTTTTATTGTATCCTAGTACATTTCTCTACTACTAATCGTTATGACTCAATGGTCCACATTTGACTCAAACAACTCATAAGACACACACACACGTACACATGTATTAATTCCTCTCGTTCTCAGACTTTCAATAATCTAAATAAGCCTATAATTTATGAACGGACCGATCAGATCTAGGACAAAAGGTCTTGGATTTGGGCTCGAAATTCCCTTATCCATTGGTCCGAATAGAGTCATAGCATTTTAGCTGATGTCAGTTCGTGATGAAAACCATAAATCTAAATCCTAATTCTTACCGTCAACTGTAAATCATTACCTCTATTCCTCAAACTAATTTATAACCGTTATTTGTTCCCATTAAGTAGGCAGACACTCTCAAGGTCCCTCAAAGATCGTCCATAAATTATAATCTCACCTAAACCAATTATTTTAATGGGGATATAATATAAAAACCATCCACCAAAAGGGGGAAATTTTTGGTAACTAAGTGACTCTTAGGAACATTAAATATCATACTCATTATTTTGGAAAACACTGAGTTCAAAATGCTTGTGAATTAAAGGGATATCCAAGTAACTCGCATTAAGTTCGAGTCCTGGAGTGAACATCAATTCTGAGATGCAGGTACATCCAACTGACGAGCCCCAAATAGGACGAAATGTGCATCCTAGATTCCATTGCTAGTCATCAACTATCTTTGCTTATAATGATTGATACTAAGTTTTGTTCTCATTGTAAATATCACGATAGATGTGGATAAATTCAATTGAAGAGTCTTAAATAAGATCATACGTAAGTCATCAATTTCAGTGATAATCACAATTCATATTAACTTTTCCAATACTACTATTATAATAATGAATTTTAATCTATATTGAGTTCATTTCATTAATATCAGCCTCTTTTTTCTTTCCCCTTGATTTCTACTTGATTTCACACATTCTATCATCTGGTTTTAAATCACTTTTTATTCTCATCTAGCTAATATCAAAGTTCAACGTTTATGTCGAAATCCGAAAACATCCGCTCAATCAGTAAGTAATCATCTATCATTATTTGAGTATTGATAAATCATATTGATTGTTTATAATGACTTACATGATCTAGATGACTATTTTTTGGAGAGAAAGAGAGAGAGAGAGAGAGAAAGGGGGTAATAATAAGGTAAAACTGTGCATGTTTGATGGATTATTTGTAGGCAAACTGCGTTACATACATCCTAAACACTTAATTTTGGTCTAAAATCTGATTGTAAATATCTAATCATAACAAGAAATAGTGTTGTAACTCATGTAGTGACTGGTTCTATGTTGACTTTATTCTAGCTTCCAGGCAAGCTAATTTATCCATTCTTATCAAGCTACACTTTGACCATGTTAATTATTTGCGGCGAGGCTATCATTTGTACACGAACCAATCACGTATAAGATAACAGGTCTCGGATTTTGGCGCCAAATTCATTCATCCATTTGGATAAACAGAATACCCTAAATCTAATTCCTAAGTTTAATCATCAACTGTTAATCATATATATAGAGGGAGAGAGAGAAAGAGATTCAAGGCGTTTTGTACATATTAGTTAAATGATAAAATAAACCCAACTTACATACAACTGTTACCTCTCGTAGAGGAGCATAAACCGCCCATCAGCATTCGCCATCGAACTCTGTCATGGGAAAATAAATCCAAACAAACGTGGAACTTTTTTGAAAAAAAAAACTATTTTTCAGTCAATCCGATAAAAATTTGAAAGGTACTGCTTACACTTGATCTAGCGATTGTCATTATGGATGAGAACTGTTTTTCGTTTTAATTAAAACATATTTCAGATATAGGCCTAATGAACCCTATGAATATTATCAGTAATCAGTATATTGCATAAAGCTCAAAAGAAGACACCCTTACCAAACATCTAAATGCTAAATTCTAAGGAGAACGAAACAAACTACTTCAACTTCACTAATAGTTACAATCTACCCAATTTCAATAGAGTATGGTTCACTGAGTTAGATGGTTTAGTTGTGGAGATTTCATCGTTCTTTTGAATGACGACATCGACACAAGCTTCGAGAACAAAACTTCATCGAAATCATCTACCTGAGCTACAAATCTTCTCTACCATACTCAATTTCAAATCAAACACTTCATTGGAAAATTAGCACGAAATAAACACTGTACTTATTAATGAAAATGATGCTAACGTTTGAATTATATATATCAATAGTTGAAATCATGATTCAATTGAAGCTAGACCACCATGAAAAACCTCAGAGTACTAGACGGTCAATTCGTCCTAGTATGGGACTCCTCTGCAGTGCGCCTACACGATCCCGCCACCTCACGAGATTTGAACACAGGACCTATCACTCTCGCACGCGAGCGTTTAATCACTAAGCCGACCGGCATCCAACGATGTTAATGTGCAACTTCAACCAATCCACGAAATTGTGCCATCGTACACCATTGTTTTCAGTGAGTTGATATCTCACAACAGATCTGGTTGAACTCTATTGGTCACGACTTCTCACTAGAACTCCATGAAATGCCTCTTGAAGTCATTCACTAGTGAGCAGATTATTATTATTAGAAGGGGTTTTGCAGAGATTGTAGTAATTTCAATAGTTGAAATCATGAGTCAATTGATGCTAGACCACCATGGAGAACTACTTAAGTGTAGTATGTGAAGCTTTTATCCATAAAATATTATTCCAGATGACTGCTGAATGTTACCAACCCCTTTGAAAAGGCTACTTAACTAGGGGTATTTGAGTGAAGAGATCGGAAGAGAGAGAGAAAGGGGTGAGGACAGAGAGATCAAACAGATTGATTGTATATATTAATCACATATTCTGAACAGAATTCATTCAGTTAATCGATAAGAAATTTTTTTTAAAGGATCTTATCAACCAAGCTTAACCAAATACAATTTGACCTAATCTATATTGTCATTTCATTATTCTTAAAGATAATGACATTCTGAACGAATTGATTATTGTGTTTTACAAATATTGATCATGTTTCTATTGTATCATTTTAGCTTCATAATGTATTGGCTTGTTTTCAAGTGCTCCAGTTACTTGGCATTGAAACAAATGGGTTTACTCCTCAAGGTAAGACTAATATTAATAGTAATAATAATCATTGTTATTATATTTCATCACTAAAATGTATTTAGTTTCATGCTAATTATGTATTCCTATGTAGTAGTAGAAGTAGTCATTTGATCCTCAGTGAACACTAGTGTGGTGGTCGATATTCAATAATATGATCTTTAAACTTCGCATACAGTTCATCCTGATAACCGTCACTAGATAACGTCCCCCAAACGGTGTATTAATCAGAAGGCGAATATGAAGTGTTGATTACGTTTATTATTGCACCACACACAAATAGATCATCAAAACTACAGGCACATGAAGCAAGAATGATAAGTGAGTGCCGAATAGCAAGTGAGTGAGTGAGTGAGTGAGTGAGTGAGTGAGTGAGTAAGTGAGTGAGTGAGTGAGTGAGTGAGTGAGTGAGTGAGTGAGTGAGTGAGTGAGTGAGTGAGTGAGTGAGTGAGTGAGTGAGTGAGTGAGTGAGTGAGTGAGTGAGTGAGTGAGTGAGTGAGTGAGTGAGTGAGTGAGTGAGTGAGTGAGTGAGTGAGTGAGAGAGTGAGTGAGTGAGTGAGTGAGTGAGTGAGTGAGTGAGTGAGTGAGTGAGTGAGTGAGTGAGTGAGTGAGTGAGTGAGTGAGTGAGTGAGTGAGTGAGTGAGTGAGTGAGTGAGTGAGTGAGTGAGTGAGTGAGTGAGTGAGTGAGTGAGTGAGTGAGTGAGTGAGTGAGTGAGTGAGTGAGTCCATCAACATCGAGTAAATTAAGCGATTGACACTAAGGCTAGCAGAATGAATGTATGCATATGCAGTAAGCAATGCTTGAGCATACATATTCATACAAGTATAACAATGATATAATATAGATTGTTATTGTACGAATGACTCTGTCCGTTAAATAAGTTAACAAAAAGGGCTTAACCGAATTAAATGTAAACAAACTCAATTACATGTGAGCTGATATACTAGATGGTTTTCGTTAACTGTTTCATCTCAAAGTTCTTTTAAGATTACAGGTACACCATATTGATCATTACCAATTATCAGGGAATCTAGATAAAGTATAATTTACAGTTGACTACTTCAAACGAACCAATATCTATCTATCTTAAACTAAAAAAATTGCGAGAAATTTGATCTGAATAGCAAACAATTTATTCACTGACTGACTTTAAGGGGCATTTCCTGCAGTTCTAGTGAGAAGCCATAACCAGTGGAGTTCAACCAGGTGTGTTGTGAGATATCAACTCACTGAAGACAATGGTGTACGATGGCGCAATTCCGTGGATTGGTTGAAGTTACACATTAACACTGTTGAATGCCGGCCTGCTCAGTGGTCTAATGGTTAGACGCTCGCGTGCGAGAATGATAGGTCCTGTGTTCTAATCTTGCGGTGTGGCGGGATCGTGGATGCTCACTGTTGAGTAGTCCCACACTAGGATGAACTGGCCGTCCAGTACTCTAAGGTTTTCCATAGTAATCTAGCTTCAATTAAATCATGATTCCAACTATCGAAATTCATTACGTACAAATGTTTTCCATTTTTTTGTATTTTAATATTTTACTAATAATTGTATATACTACTAACAATATCCAATATGTTTTCACTCCTATCCATTCACTTCTTACATTGTAGACATTGTGGATAGTAAATTAAAATATATACTTGGTCTATTTTTCAATTTATCTAAATTTAAACAAAAAACAAAAAAATTACAACAATCTCAAGTAAATACAATTACATCTTCATCCATAATACAATCGTCATTCTTAACAACAACAATACCAACTAAAGCAACAATTACATCAATTCATTATCCATCAATGATTAAATTACAAAAAAATCATATTTCTAATGAAAATGATACATATCACCACCACCAACAACAACATCAGGATTCATTAGTTATTCAATCAACACCACTTAGACCACCACCACCACCGCCGCCACGTACTATCAATAATAATAGTACTACTACTACTACTACTACTACTCATAGTAGTCTATCAAAACAAATAGATCTATACAACAAATTAGACAGTCCAAACAACAATAGCAGCAACAACAACAACAACAATCTGAACAATGGGAATCATCATCAGCATCATCATCATCGTCATAATCAATCTGTAAATAAACAAGAAAATCTTTTAATCGGACAAATAAAATATCCAATTAAGAATCTGAATGAAACATTGTCCAATCCATGTTCCAATCCTTTAATATTGAACAAAACTAATGAGAATAATGATAATAATCATAATGCTAATATGATTGGAATTAATGCATCATTAAATTTTACTAAACCAAAGTGAGTAAAACAAAATAGGAAAGTATATTTTTTCCTCTTTGTAATTTCCTCTTTGGTAAAACGATAATTTATAAACGAACTAATCAGATATAAGATTACAGGTCATTTGGATAAATAGAGTTATGACATTATAGCTGATGTTAGTTCATGATAAATACCCCGACATCTAATTCCTAATCCTAACCATCAATTGTAAATCATAATTCGACCCAAAAATGTTCTGGTACGACCATGAGTGGGAAGAGTTAGCATTCATTCTTAAAATGCTCTGACATGTCCACATGCATACAACCACTGCCACAAAAGTCCTACTCAACGCCTTCGGATGGAGCCAGTGTTGTTTACGAAATTAAGAGGACGAAAAGCGAATATCTAGTGAGGAAACCGAGTTAGTGAACGCGGAGAGTCCATCTATGGGAGTTGGAAAACTCTGATTCCAAACCAATAGTGCATATGAGCTCCAGGATCCTGAGGGAACAAATGGTGTATGAACCTATTGTTGGTGACCGGCTACCATGGGACTGCATCTCCTGACGTTCCTCCACTGTCTTGTAGATCAGACATTTAGGTCGAAGGCTCGTGGTGTGGTCGGTTTGGGCACCCGGGTAGTATCCCAGTTTTCACACAAATCAAATGATTTATGTGGTGCATATGTATTTGGTGCCTTCTTGTACCAATGTTTATGTATTTAAATAAATAAAATGAAATAATAATTCTATTTCCTCACACACTGGTTTATAACCTTCATTTGATCCTCGTTATGAGGTGGACACTTTCAAAGTTACTTCGGCTTCACTCAAAGGTCATCCATGAATTATAGTTTCACCTATTTTTCCCATCTGAAAATTGACAATTTAACACTGATGAATTCGGACATAAATTATGATTGATTGATTGATAGAATATTTACAATATATGCACATTAATAGATATTATGATGAGATTTCTATCTGAAGTTTATGCTGGTGATGTCATTCAGAAGAAGGATGAAAGCTTCATGACCAAACCATTCAGCTTAGAGAATAAAACTCCATCAAAAACTATAATTTATGAATGACCTTTTTGAATGATATTAAGCTGACTTTGAGAATATTCATTTACTTATTAGAGATAAATGAGGATTATGAAGTAGTTTGAAGAATAAGCATTATAATTTACAATTGGCAATTAGAAATAAGGAATTAGATTTATATCAGAAGGGGTTTGTGGAGATTTTAGAAATTTCACTAGTTAGAATCATGATCCAATTGAAGCTAGATTACCATGGAAAACCTCAAAGGACTGGACGGCCAGATCGTCCTAATATGGGACTACTCAGCAGTGTGCATACACGATCCCGCCACACCGCGAGATTCAAACACAGGACCTATCAGTCTCGTACGCGAGCATTTAACCATTAGACCACTGAGCAGGCCGGCATCCAACTGTGTTAATGTGTAACTTCAAACAATCCACGAAATTGTGCCATCGTACACCATTGTCTTCAGTGAGCTGATATCTAAAAACAGACATGGTTGAACTCCACTGGTCACGAATTCTCACTAGAACTCCATGAAATGCCTCTTGAAGTCATTCACTAGTGAGCAGATGTTTATTATCAGAAGGGAATTGTGGAGATTTTAGAAATTTCACAGATTGAAATCATGATTCAATCGTGGATGCGCACTGCTGAGGAGTCCTATACTAGGACGAAACGGCCGTCCAGTGCTTCCAGGTTTTCCATGATGGTCTAGTTCCAATTGACTCATGATTTCAATCTGTTAAATTAGATTTCTGGTTTTTTTTATCACGAAATGACATTAGCTGAAATGCCAAAAACCTCTTTAGCCAAATGGATAGATGAATTTCGCTCTAAAATCCACTGTCTGTCATTCTAAATCTGATTGGTCCATCTATAACTTATAGTCGCGCCAATATTATCATATTTCCAAGAATTCAGTACAAGAATTGAATCATAACCGTCAATTTTATATTTTGATGACCAATAATGAGTAGATTGAACATTAGATCGTAGATGAAACGAAACAGATATCTAGTGCTTTTTGGTTTTCAACAGTATCTTAACTAGATTTTAATCTGAGACAGAAAAAAATTGTCACTACAAATTCAGAAACACATTGATCTATATGGTAGTTATTAATGAAATATAAGATGAATAGACATAAACACATATGATTTGTTAGTATGTGAGGTTTTATGGATATTCTTAAGTTTTATTGTTTACATCAAGAACTGATCTTAGTTAGACAACTATTGAAAACTAAAAAGTACTAAATAGTTGTTTTGTTCTAATGTGACTCCACCATGGATCGAACCGAGGACCTTGTGATGCTCATATCTTTCTAAAACCTTGTGAGTAGTATATTACATCCTGATTTTTCTTTATACATATATACATATATACACCACTTGCCATTACTGGGAGTTTCCTAGCAGACATTGCTATTATCTATAATCTTATAAAAATACCCTCTTAAGTGGTACTTTATTTTCTTGTTCATGGTTAAATGTATGAAGTTAAATGTGTTCTCCCAATTTCTAACCTTCTAAATTCTTCATGTCCCTTTTTTCCTCTTTCCAAATTTGTTTCACTGGATTATACTCTTTAAATAACATCTCCAAACCGTAATCTTCCCGATTACTGCTTATACTCTTACCGTCTCTACAACTACGGGATTCGAATCGACCACTGCATCTCTGTGCTAATGTGGTGTAGCAACTCGAACGGATGTACGTACGTACGAAGTTCTACGTTGTCACTGACTGACTGACTGAGATACATTAAGTAGGAATTGTTTCTTTACACAAACTTGCTTATATTGACAATTGATGATCTAATAACCTCACAAACATACACCTATACACTTAAGAGCATGAAATAAATAAAAAGTTTTGTGTTTCTATTCAATACCCTTCAATATTTAATGTCTATTGTTATAGTCGAAATTCTTTAGTTGACATATTGATTTAATAAACTCTACTTATTAAATTGTAAGTAATATAATTGTATGAACTAAATAAATTAACACTGGATATACATAGTCTAAGAAAATAATCATCGTTTCTGTAGTTTACAGAGCTCTAATCTCATTTTCAACATAAATCTGTTTAATATGAACAAATATTTCAAAAAAAGAAAAAGGATTAGATTTGAAATGCGACATCCGGTTGATGAGTCCTAAATAGGACGAAATGCGTGTCCTGGATTCCACTGTTAGCCACCATTCATCTCTACCTATAATACTTATGATTTAAGGCAATATCAAAGCAATCTGTATAGAATGTATATATGCCAATAAGACAGACTAATCAATTGTAGTCTTAAACATAAATGAGAACATTCCACACACACAAAAATAAGAAAAAGAAAACCCAATACAAAGACATAGTTTGAAAATACCTATATCATAGATAAACTTTCATGAATAAAATTGACTCATCTAAGAGGTAGGTAATAAAACAGAATAAATGATGACAGGAACTTTATATTGTCTCCTTTAAAAACTTACTTTTTCATTCCAGTTCATGAATGAATGTTCTTTTATTCTAAAATAAAATAGAATAATAAACAATAAAGAAGTGAAAGATATGCTGACTTGATCATTAAATTATTATTCAAATTTCTTTGAAAGTATCTTATGAATTCAATTTGAAATGGATTAGATTAACCTATTGTAGATATTTTTGATTAAAAAGTTGATCACTCACGTTCGGCATATAGCCATGCTGTACGGATTGTCTACATATTATTTTCTTACTTACACCTGTTACCCCCCCCCAATAGATCATAGGCCGCCGGCCAGCATTCTACAACTCACTCTCTACTGGGCATTCCTTTCTAGTTCTATACAATTCTTGTTCATTTTTCTCATGTCTGTCTCCGTTTCTCGGCGTAATGTGTTCTTTGATTTTCCTCTTCTCCTTTGGCCTTGAGGATTCCACGTGAGGGCTTGCCTTGTGATGCAGTTCGGTGCTTTCCTCAATATGTGTCCTATCCACTTCTAGCTCTTCTTCCTGAGTTCTTCCTCCGCTGGAATCTGGTTTGTTCTCTCTCACTGGGTTGTTGCTGATAGCGTCAGGCCAACGGATCCGAAGTATTTTGCGTAGACAGCTGTTAATAAACACTTGTATCTTGTGGATGATGGCTTTCGTAGTTCTCCGAGTTTCCGCCCCATACAGTAGAATTATTGTTTCAATATGGTCAATATGAATATATGGAATTTGGCTAGTAATGGAGTCTACGATATATGTGTTGTCCTATTAAGGGACTCACTAACTGGATGTACCTAAATCTCAGAGTTGATGTTTACTCTGGGACTCAAACATCGTATCGTTCGCTTGAAACGTCATCGCGTTATCTACTTAGCTATTGAGTCTGGATATCCACTAACTTTTGTAAGAGGTATGACACTTAAGTCAATTTGAAATGGATTGGATTACCCTATTGTTGATATCAACTGGCTATAAATAAACTCTGTTTACAAGAAGGTTATAAAGGGATAAGATATAGAAGGCATTTTAAAGAACAATGAACACACGCATAGTATGTCAGTCAGTCAATCATAGGTAACATAGAATACTATTAATATATGCATCAGTGAATGCACCTGCACTTATATTTTGGATCTCTTACATGAAAGCTGCATTCTGACTGGTTATGTTTGATTGGACAATCTTAAGGACACTCATGAATTCACTGAAGGTGGTCGGTATGGTATAGTCTTGCTGTAATTATTTAAGTCACGTTGAATATTGGCTAATAATGACACCCGGGAAGTTTGTCTCTTTTTATTTCCTACTCATTAGCTGGGTTAAACTAAACCCAAGTGTTGGTGTTCTTATTGGCACTGAAACGCAATGTTTTAAATTTCGAGTCATTCACTGAACTACTGAGTTCGAGTGGGTAACGAATTGTTCAAAGAGGATTAACTTATATCTGTAATGGTTTGGCTCTTCCTATCTAAAAGATATTAATTAATTGTATTCCTTAATATCGATGG